AGAGATGAGAAGGTAGAAATCCGTTTACAAGCCGAGGTCTGAGAGATGAGAAGGTAGAAATCCGTTTACAAGCCGAGGTCTGAGAGAGGAGCCGGTAGCATCGAGTAGAGCAGCTGATCTTACTGCTGCACCTGAGTGAATAATCCAGCCCTTTGAATCTGGCGCGGTCTTCCTAAGTATCGTGGAAAGACCGCGTCAGAAAAAAGGGCGGAGCTAAGCGCCGTGAACCCGGAAGTGGGTTCCGGCGGCAACATGAATGTTAGGTATACCTGACAGTACCCCCTTCTCATGGGGCATCCTCTGGGTGCACTTATTTTGGTTTAGAGGGGTAGCGTTTGTGAAAAGCATCAACTAATCTCTTTGCATGAACATTAGATGAATCTTCCCAGGTATCTTCATCAATTCCATAACCTTTCCATCTGATAAGGTATTGTAAAGAGCCACGGTGGATACGAGAATCCAAAATCTTATGAATTTCATATTCTTCTTCACCTTGGACGATGATAGGTTCAGGAGTTGTTACTATTTCTCTATGGAAAGGATCAGGGATGTGTGGTTTAAGCAAAGAGACATGGAATACTGGATGAAGTTTAAAACTTGGAGGAAGTTTTAATTTAACAACCTTATCATTGATGATTGTAGTTATTTGAAAAGGACCAAGAAAAAGAGAGCTCAATTTCTTTGAAGGACGGTTTGTGGTAATATTTTTTGAAGAGAGCCAGACAAGATCCCCCACTTTATAAGGAGGGGGAATTCTTCTTTTATGGTCAAAAAACTTTTTCTGGTAGTTTTGGGCGAGTTGAAGATTCTCCCGTAATTTAAGGAATAGAGAAGACATAAATTCATTTTTTGAAGTAACCGTGGGATTGGATGAAGAATTAGATGGGATGGGAAATGAGGACTGATGAAAACCATAGTTGGAGAAAAAAGGAGTCATTTTCGTACTAGAATGAATGGTATTATTGTAAGAAAATTCAGCCATAGGTAACCAAGTGGTCCAGTCATCTTGCAGGTATGAACAATAACATCGGAGATATTGTTCCAAACATTGATCAACTCTCTCTGTTTGCCCATTAGTTTGGGGATGATAGGCAGAAGAGAGTTTGCGTTGAATTTGAAGAGAGAGACACATCTCTTTCCAGAATTTGGAGGTAAATTGTGTCCCTCTATCAGAAATAATTTCTTCTGGAAGACCATGAAGCTTTACAATATTATCAATAAAGACTTTGGACAATTCTACGGAGGAGGGTAAATTTTTTAAAGAGATGAAATGGGACATTTTAGTGAAGCGGTCCACAACAACAAGAATAGTGGTGAACTGTCGGGATGGAGGAAGGTCAACAAGAAAATCCATAGAAATGGATTGCCAAGGGTTTTCTGGAATAGGTAAGTTAAGTAGTAATCCAAAAGGTTGATTATGTTCAGATTTGGACCTTTGACAGATAGGACAAGTTTTGACATATAATTCAATGGTTCTATCTTGGTGAGGCCACCAATAATATCGTGAAGTTAGTTCAAGAGTTTTCTTTATTCCAGGATGTCCAGCTAGGGGTGAATCATGAACCATTTTAAGTAATTTGTTCCTAAGAATGGGAGGAATATAAATCCTATTTTTGAAGTAAAATACACCATCCTTTTTTGTTAAATTAGGTGTTTTGGGAAGTTCAAGATCCTTTTGATTCAAGTTCCTTAAGTCATCCTGAAGAGAAGAGAGGATCCCTATTATTTTGTTAGGAGGATAAACTTCAATAGAAGTTTTAGAAGGAATTCGAGAAGAGCGTCAGCCTTTTTATTTCTAGTTCCAGGTCTGTATATTAATTGGAAGTTAAACCGGTTAAAAAATAGGTTCCATCTAACTTGTCTAGCCGTAAGGGTTTTATTAGTATAAAGATATTCAAGATTTTTATGGTCTGTATAGACTATGATAGGTTGTTTTGTATCTTCTAATAGATGGTGCCAATTTTCAAAGGCAGCTTTAACACTTAATAATTCCTTTTCACCAATAGGATAATTTTTTTCAGCAGAGCTCAAGGATCTTGAAAAGAATGCGACTGGATGAAGTGGATCTTGAGGAGTCTTTTGCTGAGAAAGAACTGCTCCAATAGCTGAATCTGATGCATCGACTTCTAGGACATACAAGAATGTTGGATTAGGTAGCTGTAGAATAGGTGCAGTTGTAAATCTTTTTTTAAACTATCGAAGGCAGCTTGTGCATCTTTATTCCATTTGAAAGGACGTTTAGTACTGTTAAGGTGGTTAAGTGGATGTGATACCTCTGAGTAGTTTCTAATGAATTTTCTATAGAAGTTTGCAAATCCAAGAAATCGTTGCAATTCTTTTGTAGTAGTAGGAGCGGGCCAGTTAATAATACATTCGATTTTAGAGTTATCCATTTTCAGAGAATGAGGTGAAATAATGTATCCAAGAAAGGAGAGTTCAGTAACTTCAAAAAGACATTTCTCTGGTTTAGCGTATAATTTGTGAGTTCTCAATCTAGATAGAACCCATCTTACATGCTTCCTATGCTCATCCAAATTGTTAGAATATATTAGAATATCATCTAAGTAGATAATAACACAAACATCCAAAAGATCTCTAAAGATATCATTTATAAAATGTTGAAATGTTGCAGGGGCATTACAAAGCCCAAAAGGCATCACTAGATATTCGTAGAGACCATATCTAGTCCGGAAGGCGGTCTTCCATTCATCATCCTGTTTTATTCTAATGAGGTTATATGCGCCTCGGAGGTCGAGTTTAGTGAATATAGTTGCAGTTCTTAACCTTTCAATTAATTCATTTATTAGTGGAAGAGGATAACGATTTTTTATGGTTATTTTATTTAAGGCTCTGTAATCTATAATGGGTCGGATGGTTTGGTCCTTATTCCTCACAAAAAATATACTAGAGGCAGCCGGTGAAGTCGAGGGTCTGATGAATCCTTTACGTAAATTTTCATTAAGATATTCTTTTAAGGTCTGCAATTCCTTTTCAGAAAGTGGATAAATGTGTCCATAAGGAATGGGAGCACCAGGTATTAGATCTATTGGGCAATCATATGCTCGATGAGGTGGAAGTGTTTCCGCTTCTTTTTTACAAAAGACATCTGAAAAGTCAGAGTAGAATGGAGGTATAATTGATTCCTGAGTAGTTTGGAGAATAGGAATATGTTGGAAGCAGGTTTTTTTGCAAAAGTCAGAAGGAAAAGAAATGGAAAAGGGTGACCATTTAATTAAAGGATCATGAGTTTTAACCAATTAATTCCTAGAATGACGGGATAAAGTGGAGATTTAATAACATCAAATGTAAGGAATTCTGTATGTACGTTATTGGTAATCATTCTTAGAGGAATTGTCTCATCTTTTATGGGTCCTGAGGATATGAATGAACCATCAATAACTCTGATTGGAATAAAATTGGTTTTTCGAACACACGGAATTTTATTCTTTGCAACAAAAGAAAAATCAAGGAAGGTTCCATTAGCACCAGAATCAATAATGGCTTCAGTCACGATTCTTTTTGTATCCCACTGTAATATGAGAGATATAGAAAAATAAGTAGATGTTTTCCTTTTGTAAAGAACGTTCAATATAGAAGTAGATGAATGAAGTTTACCAGCTTTCGAATGGATTAGTAGGGGACATTCTGGGATTAGATGTTCTTTTGAAGCACAATACATGCACAAATTTAGTTGTCTCCTTCTTATCCTTTCTTCCGAAGTAAGAGGGCTTCTTATTATACCAACTTCCATAGGTTCATTGTGAGGAAGAGATTTTTCAGGAATTTTTGGAGTAGTAAAATGTTTTCTCCAATTAGAAGTAGTAAGAACTTTTTCAGCCCTTCTTTCTCTTAGACGTCTGTCAATACTAATGGAAAGTTGAATCAATGCATTTAAGGTGGGAGGAAGTTCAATACGAGAGAGTTCATCTTTCACAGCTTCTGATAATCCGAGACGGTATTGATTGCGTAGTGTAATGTCATTCCATTGGGTTTCTGTAGCCCATCTTTTAAATTCTGCAATGTAATCTTCAACAGGTCTGTTCTTTTGGTGGAGAGTTCTGATGTTTAAATCAGCAGTAGCCT